TGGTGTAACCCCAATCTCCCATTCTACGTACAAGCCATGAAAAATGCGGAGGGTAGCAACCCCTAATGCGCCCTCTCTCCACGTGCGGGGCCCCGCACACTTACACGCGTGGCATTTAGGTAGGAGTAAGCATAATGAGATCCGTAAGCTATGATTGAGGACCTCATTGGGAGGGGGAGGCACTTTCTCATTGTCCAGTAATACGAGTATACAAGACCGGACTCAATTCAGATCTCGGGTCAAAGAGTGACGGAGCTAAGAAGGTTATGGATGTTTATGACAGTCGTGTTGTATTTTCTTGCGGGGGGCTTGATCCAATAACCATGTAATTGGATGTCTTAGACTTCACCATATTCTACTATTTAATCCCGTTCTGAGCTCCGAGGACTAGAATTCGAAAACCAACCTCTTGGACAACTTTTCTGTGCCTCCTTACTAAGCTGAGCTGCCTCTCTGAATCAATTTTGTCACTTACCAGACATCATCACCGAGATGAAGACGTCCAATATCCTAAGTTTCCTGGGCCTCTTTCTCGTCAGCGCATTCGCTGTTCCAAATCAGAATTATGTTGATTGGAAGACCTTCAAGGCCAATGGAGTCAACCTCGGTGGCTGGCTAGTTCAAGAAGCCGTCCTAGACGCCGGGTTCTGGAGTCAGTACGGCGGCAATACCACCGACGAGTGGGAATTTTGCGTCCGTCTTGGCTCGCAATGTGGCCCGGTCCTGGAACGACGCTATGCAACCTATTTCCAGCCCGCCGACATTGACAAGCTCGCCAAAGCTGGTGTCACCATCCTCCGCATCCCGACACACTACGCTGCTTGGATCAAGGTTCCTGGCTCCCAATTATACACCGGCAACCAAGTTCAATTCTTGAAGAACATTGCGACATATGCCATCACAAAGTACAATATGCACGTCATCGTCGATGTTCACTCCTTACCAGGTGGGCTCAACGGCCTGGGTATTGGAGAGAAGGACGGCAACTATGGGTGGTTCAACAACGAAACCGCCCTGGAATATTCATACCGCACCATAGATGCCGTCGTTCAGTATGTTCAAACCTCCGGGTTTCCTCAGTCATACACCATTGCACCCCTGAACGAGCCAGTGGACAACCGCGACTTCTCCAAGTTCGGTACGCCGGATGCACTTAGCATCAATGGTGCTGCTTGGGTTGCAAAGTTTATCAACGGCGTCCTCTCCCGAGTCGCAGCTCTCAACCCCAAGATTCCAGTCATGGTACAAGGCAGCTTTCGTCCCGAGACGTTCTGGTCGCCGTATTTCCCTTCTGACGCAAACATCGTTTTCGATTCCCATCATTACTACTTCGCCGGCAGACCAACCACATCCGACAACATACCGACTTTCATCTGCGAAGATGCCAAGGGGTCTATCAGCGATGGGAAATTTCCCGTCTTCATCGGCGAGTGGTCGATTCAGGCTCTCAGCAACAACACTTTTGCCAGCCGGGCCAAGAATCTGAATGATGGGCTTTATGCTTGGTCCAAGTATACCCAAGGAAGCTCATATTGGACCGCCAAATTTTCTGGAACCGACCCAGTCAATGGTCAAGGAACTCAGAGCGATTATTGGAATTATGAAACTTTCATTGATTTGGGCATCATCGACCCAGCGTCTTCTGTGGGATTTTGCCCCTAGCCTTGAGGAATTCCAAGCCAACGATTATTTGACAACACGCGAAGCAGCATAATGAATCTTTTCGAATTTGATTGACTCATCCATAGCGTGCTGGCTATTGTGCTCGGCATTCGCATCCCTCAAAAAGGTCATGCCTGCCTCGTCGACTTCTCAAGTTCCCGAGAAACTCTTAAATATTAGCTAGAAACGAATTCAATACATGATCACTAGGCCATTTTCACTGATCTAATATGCTCGTTGAGGTGACTCTGATCAAGACAACCTACATGTTGAAAACTTAGACTTATGTATTTTCCGGTGAATTGAAGCTGTTGACTATACCCACGCCGCTTATTCTTTGTTCTAAGTATGATCCTTCGTGTTTAGCTGCTTGACCACAGTCGTCGTACGAGTCAACAGCGACACATACTGAAGAAGGCTTCATTTACCCTTCTTATGAGCCTCAATCTTCTTCTTGAACAGCTCAGACATGAACTTCATCCGCATCCACTCAGGCATACAATCAAAGAGTACCAACTGGACTGCATGTTTGAACCAAGGCGTCATTTCCAGCATGCCCCTTTGAGTTGCTCTGCCCGCTCTCTTCAAGGCGGCCTTGGCGAATTCTCTGCCGTCTGGTGAACCCGGTGCCATGGCTACAGCGTTCGACTGCGTCTTCACGTCGCCAACCACAAGGCAAAGCACATCGACCTTCTTCTTTTCGGCTTTCATCTCCCTCGCGATGGCGTTGCTGAAGGAAGAAACAAAACCCTTAGTTCCAGAGTACACTGCCACGCCAGGCATTCCCATTCTGCCGCCGGAGCTGACGTTGAGCATCAAAGAAGGACCATTCTTGGCGAGGATTGGGAGCATAAGTCGGGTCAACTGTGCCATGAATCGCGCGTTGAGGTTGATGGTGCCGTCCACCTCTTCGCCAGTGAAGTCTTGCAGATGCCAGATCGCCGGCGGTCGAGCGGACACACCTCCAACGTTGTTGACCAGAACAGTGATTTTCAAGTCATCCATGTTGTCGACAGCAGCCTGCACCTTTTCGGGTGTGCTGGTGATGGCATCGACCTTGAGGATGCGGACGGCGATCTCGTCCTTGTGTCGACGGAGACACTCCGATTCGATAAGAGCGCGGGCGTCCTCCAGTTCGTCTTCGTTGTTGCCCAGTAAGACGATATTAAAGCCTTGAAGCGCGAGTTCTTGCGCACATCCCAGTCCGATGCCTGCGGAGGCGCCGGTCACGAGTGCCCAGGACTCATATGAGCCCTTCCTCTGATATTTTTTCAATGACACAGAAGGAAGAATCCATATCGCAATGGCGTCGTAGAATTTGTAGGCAGAATAGAGAATCCAGATGAGGCCGATGGCCTGCAGAGTCTGCTCAAGCATGATGGTGGTTGCTGAGCTCGATGAGTTGTCGGAGGAGCTGCGATGGAGTTGAAAGAAGAAAGCCGCAGGTTTCAATTAGGATGAGACGAAAGTCTTTCAGCGGGAACTTCCAGGAGGGCTATCGCCTAATCACTCGCTAACGCGTCTCCGCTATGCTAGCGGCGTGGGGACAAGACCGTGCCCGGCCCGAGCACTGACTGTCATCGTGCACCTCATCTGATGTTAACACCGCGTGTTCGGAGTCAAGTCAAGAGAAACGACGCTCGACTTGTATTCGGAGAACTCGCCTTTCATCGGAATATGCCGGCCTTGGCTTCCTGACTAAATGATTCAAAACACCGGCCCAGCTGATCTATTGTGTAGGGAATACTTGGTGGTTTACTACCTAGTTCAAACCAGCATAGGCAGCTAGGCTGGTATTTACACAGACACATCTCCTTCTCCTTGTGGCATCGATTGTGCTGCCTTGCCGATGATCTCCTTGAGCTCGTCCTTCAGCGTCTGTCTGAAACTTTTGTCTTTGAAGCAATACATGATTGACAGCAGCGTGTGGTACTTCATCGCGTACACAGCGTTTCTACCGTCAAAATCAGCCGTGGGCTCGGCTGCAGGTATTCGCTTAAGGTATTCGCGAATACACGGTTGACCAAGCTTGTATCTTGGGTTTCGGCAGATGCCCAAATCGGCTAGAAAGTCCCTCGGGGTTAACCCATGAAACCACAGGATCTCTACAGCCTTGAGAAATCTTATTACTGACCCTCATTGTGTCCCCAAAATGCACAGGCGTCAAACATGCATAATCCATTTGAGGATTTCTTCGGCTTGATATTCCCAGGCCATAGATCAGAGTGAATGAGGCAGGGTATGACAGATCGTCCTTCTCTTTCAAGTGGAGCAAGGTATCTCGAGATCACTTCGTGGAGAAATATCATCTTGAGCGCTGTCAACTCATCGTCCATGCCATGAACGCGGTCGTCCTGGTCGAACAGACCCTTCATCTGCTGTCTCCAGAATGATTCCCAAGAAGAGTTCCACGAGTTGTTGACTGGAACATTGGCAAGATGAGTAGTGACATGAAAGCCGAATTTTCTGGTTGAGCTTTTCCCCATGCTGTTAGCATGGAGCTCCCACACAGAAGCCGCCCAATCCCCAGGGCTGGGGAGGTCTTCTCTCATTTCCACGAACTGGCTGAGATAGAAGTGCGTGTTTGGATCGATGGTGTATGTTCCCCAACCGATGGGCTTTGGGACCTGGCCTGGAGAAAAGGTGTATAGGGCCTGTTCAGCTTCGAATGTGCCTCTCATCATGTCCATTCCAATTGCACCACGCGCACCCTACGCGAGAGTGAGAACTAATTTGGTCCAAATGGGAGTCCATTAATCACCTTCTTGAAGTACTCTTTCATCGTTCCATCTTCCAGCTGAACCACAATTTGAACTGTGGCCACCCAAAGACTATGGCCTGATGGTGCCACTTTGAGTACACTACAGCCTGTTGGAAGCTCTGTTATGATGTCAAGGCGTGAGCACACTGAGTTCAAACCCGGACCTAGCAAGGTTGAAAAGAAGGTACACACTAGCAAAAACAGCGTCATCAAGCTCACAGCCTTCGCCTGCATGCTCTGCCTGGTCTAGGTATCCGCTCTCCATGCTTGGTGGAGGTGTTAAGGAGCTGGTTAATTAGGTTCGGCTCGGAGTCTAACGCGGGGTAGTGGCTGACAAAAGGAGTAGCCAGGGAGAGGTCCAATCCTCGCCATCCTGTAGCCGCCCGGGTCCTTACGCATGTGGTTCCCGCGAGCCCAATCACGTGGGGGCAAGAGAGACCCTGTCCAGTCGCCGGTATCCTCGCAGTTGCTGTATCTTGAACCTCAACATGAGAAGCGACTCTCTGTTTCTCTCGTCCATTGCCAAGTTTCCGGCATCCTGGTTCTACATGCAGTCTTGATGGTCGTTACTGGCGCCATGTCGATTGACAAAAGCCCTTCGTCATCTGTATGTGCGCCCTCATCCGTGCTAGTATCTTAGATCCCGTTCTACATCCCCCGCTTAACTCGGTAGCTCGAAGCTAATGTTTCCGTCGTACCAGCTGGCTGGTATCACTGCTGAGCCGCCGTTACTCTCTCCTAATCTCGGAAGTGATGAAACTCGAGTTCGTGCGCCGTCCTTCGGCCCGCTACAACATCGGTTACGGAAGCTTAGCACGCGTCTCTCTCGGTCATCGAGATCCGACAGCTCATGCAGTATTCAATCACTTTCTGCTGCTGATATCAAGGGAGCCCTCGGTCTGAACTTGCTTCATGCGCCCTCGGAACCAGCAATCGACTTTGTGTTCGTAGGTTTTTGAGGAAGATGGAACGACTCCATGTGGCAGGACTGATACTTGCTTGTTCAGATTCACGGTCTGGGTGGGGGATCGAGGAAAACATGGAGTCACTCAGCCGATATTGGCATGTTTTGGCCTAGAGACTGGCTGCCAAATGAGGCCGGTTTCAAACACGTCCGCATTCATAGCTTTGGGTACAACTCAGACTGGACAACACGGAAGGACAGCCGGTTAACAGTCCATGACTTCGGACAAGCGTTGCTTGCCGATCTTCACAATTCCCCTTGCCTTCGCAAGAATGGCGATGTCAGTCAGCCTCCTGCATACATGTATCTACCGCCCATGGCTAATACCAACCTAGACACCGGTTGTGTTCATATCTCATAGCATGGGTGGCTTGGTGGCCAAAAAGGTGTGTCCGAGAGGACTTCATATCCCGAACTGGTAACAACGTACTGATATTCTTCAGGCGTACCTCATAGCCACGCGTGATCCGAACTACGTAACTATCGGGAAGAGGATCCATACTATGTTATTCTTAGGCACGCCTCATCGCGGAGCTGATTCTGCAAGTGTCGCGAGATTGGTCCGTCAGTCGGCTGGGTACGGCTCAAAGGCGTTTCTAGATGATTTGATTCCCGGCAGTGGAACACTAGATGTAAGTCAAAGCATCGGCTCATCAATGTGCCTAAAAGCAAATATCTCACATACTTCAACACAGCAAATCAACGACGAGTTTAGACATATTTGCCACAATATTAACCTCTGGTCTTTCTTTGAGAGTTTGCCAACGAGTTTCGGCCCCACATCATCCTTAATTGTCGAAAAGGAATCTGCCGTCCTTGGTAGGCAATGCTTTCACTTCCAGCTACGCATGTTCGTCATCCTCGTTCATTTTCTGACAATAGCTTTTGGCTTCCTCAGGGTTACCGAGAGAACATGTTCAGTATCTTGAGGCCGATCACCGACAAATGTGCAAATTCGATTCGCCAAGCAATCCGAACTATTTGACTCTACAACGAGCCTTTCAAACCATAGTCGAAGAGATCGGGACTGTCAGTGAGCCGATCCTTGGAACCATAAAATTACTTTGTCTGTCAAGCTAATCAATATTCACTCCTTCAGCTTTAGTCCAAAGCCAACAGGAACATAAATCCAAAATGCGAAAAATTGCTGCATTCCTGTGTATTGATCAACGGCCAGACGCAGTTCTTCTTGCTATAAACGAGAAGCAGCACCTCGGATCCTGTACGTGGTTGACAGATAGTGATAGATTCCAGAAATGGATCGATGGGCCAATCGGTCATTGGGCCGACAAAGAGTCATTGTTAGAGCCTTCTAGAGATCTAGAGTTCAAGCTTTTATGGCTCAATGGCCGCCCCGGGACCGGGAAGACTATCGCTGCCGGCCATGTAATCCGACATCTCCAATCTCGCAACCTCGACTGCAGCTTCTTCTTCTTCAGGCACGAGGAAACTTCTTCCTCCACTCTAGCCTTTCTGATGAGATCCCTAGCATTCCAGATAGCTGATTCAAACTTTGAGGTGCGCCAGGCTCTGGCTTCTATGGCCGAGGACAACAGAACCCTCAAGTTTGAGGATCACTATTTGCTCTGGGCAACTCTTTTCAACGAATGCATTTTCAAAGCAAAATTTGACCGGCCTCAATTCTGGGTTATAGATGCGATTGACGAATGCTCCTCCGAAGACCTACCTGGCTTGATTTCCATGCTGTCCCACATGGAACAAACGTTACCCATCCGAGTCTTGGTTACCAGCAGACCTGGTGGGCAAGTTAGGCGGTATTTAACACTGGAACGCACGGATTTTGTGGAGATCATCACGGGCGAAGAGGGTTCGCTTAGAGACATCGAAGTGTTTGTTGAAGCCATGTTTCTCCAGACATATGATGCTGATCAATACGATGGCATACAGAATCTTGTCGCCGATGTTCTGACAAAAGCAGATGGCAATTTCTTATGGACATCCCTCACAGTAGCCCGTCTGGAGAATGCATACAGTGTAGAAGACAAGCAAGATGGTTTGCGACAAATTCCGCCGCAGATGGACGAGCTTTATTCCCGCACACTCGATTTGATATCCCAATCACCTAGCGCTGAGCTGGCCGAATGTGTGTTGAAGTGGGCGATTTGTTCGCCAAAATCGCTTCACATCAACGAGCTAGCCGAGGCTGTGAAACTCGATGTCGGGAAGACTTTAGCAGCCAATGGAAGGGAGCTGGAGAGCATGACGGGATACCTCATTGTCGTGGATGGTCAGTCATATATTCGCGTCGCCCATCTAACGACATCAGCCTTTTTAAGCCGAGAGAGAGACAAGGGCTTCTGGATCGACACTGGAGAGCGCATTCAGAAATTGCTGGAACATGTCTCGGCCTGCTATGCAGTTCGAATTTTGCGCCACCAAGAACGCATCGAGGAGTCGCAGCGGCCAGGATGCCTTCTCTTTCCCCACTATCAGAATATGCTGCACTGAGCTTCCCTTACCATCTCGCTCAAGCCTCCTCAGCCACGGGGTCTTCGCTTCTCCTCCTAACAAAGTTCTTCACTACAAATGTCCTGACCTGGATTCAACGAACAGCTACAGCTGGGAATCTGTGGACCTTGCAGCTCACTGCACAGAGGCTCAAGACATACCTGGGCCGCCTAGCCAGATGTCAATCTCCTACCAGCACGGAGTTCCACACTATCGCAACATGGGCAAATGATATCTACCGCATCCTCGCCGTATTCCATTCTATTCTTCTCACCTCTCCATCTTCAATCCATTTTCTCATCCCGCACTTCTGCCCACCCAAGTCGATGATTGGGCAGATCTTCGCAAAGTCAACCAAGCGACTTCGAATTGCTGGTCCGAGAGAAGAAGATTGGAACGACAGATTGACGGGATACATATTCTCAGAAGAGGCGTATGCAATCGCCTGCTGTACTCGCCTACTGGCTGTTGGTCTTGCCAGCGGAGAGATCAGATTATTCCACCTTGCTGGGTCGGGGGCATTCGATGCAGCTGCTACATTGAATCACGGGAAGAGGGTTCGTCTGCTTGCCTTCAACCGAGCTTCTTCAGTACTAGTCTCATGTAGTTCTCGAAACCTACAAATATGGGACACCCACCGGTCTCCAGAACCTATCAGGCTATCTCCCGTTTGGTCACGAACTATCGACTTCACTCCAGGATCAATTTCATTCGACCATGACGAAGAAATGATAATTCTTTCCAATCCTCATGGTACCTCTTTGGTGATTTACGATATCAAAGATGGAAAAGAAGCAGAGCGGAAACTTTTGCATGCCCCCTCGGTCTGGGACTCAGACTCGTCGGATGAAAACGATAACAAATTTGGTTTATGGACACCAGCAATGCAGATACGACTCGACTCGGACCACAAGCTTGCAGCGTTATCTTACAGACATTCTTCAGTCTCAATCTGGGACTTGAATACTTCTGTCTGCGTCGGCAACTTTGAGAAAGACAATTTCAACTATGTTTACGCTACCTCACAAGTTCTGGACATGGTGTTCAATCCAATTGCTGAGGTCGAGCTGCTAGCAATATCATACATGGACGGCGACGTGGTAACTTGTAATCCATGGACACAAGACCAAGCAAACAAGTATCACCTGCAAACATTGCTATCTGCTCTATCCACTAGCTCCGATGGCAGGGTTCTCGTAGGTGCTGCAGAGGACGGAGGCATCTACCTTTTCCTCTTTGAGACCTTGCAGCCAATTTACCACATTCAACTACCAGGAGATCAACTAAGGATCAGAGATATCGCATTTTCAGCAGATAATCTCCGTTTTTACGACATCCGGGGGCAATGCTGCAACGTCTGGGAGCCGATTATCCTCCTTTCCAAAGAGGAGTACGATGACGACTCCCTGGAAATTTCATGTTCCAGAGAAGAAGCTGCCCTTCCGGAAATAAAAGCATCACGTTCTCATGTGTATCAGTGGGGAGAAAGCATCACGGCCATCGAGCCAGCCAACGACATGTTACTCGTCGGGCGCCAGGATGGCACAATTGATGTCAGTGATCTGACCACCGGCGAGATGGTCGAGAAGCTCCGGATTCACGATGCATTTGCAGAGATAAAATCATTAGACTGGAACGAAGACACGTGTACGCTTCTCAGTATCGACACTACTTGGCGTCACATTGTCACCAGAGTTACTTCCCTGGGGAGTGGACCTGGAGCACAACTTACTTGTTTGCTCAACCGCAGAGGTGATAGTGATACATCTCAGATAATCCTGAGTCCAAAAACCGAATCACTGCTGGTCTGTACACATTCAAGTGCGACGTTAATTGCTCTCGACGGCACTGTCATGGGAGAGGAGAAGGATCTCAAGGGAGCCTGGTGGTTGAAACATCCATCGAATTCTTCCCATCTACTCGCCTTTCGAGACAACCATTTTCATATCTATGAATGGTGTAATCTGAAGAGAGTGTGCAAGGGAATCAACCTATCTCCGAGCCCCCAAATCCAAGTTACAAAGGGTTGTCCTTCATGGATCAGCAGCAAAGGCTCTGGCTACTTAGCCCAGGGCCTTTTCAACGCGACGGAGCTAACTAGCGGCATTATCGCCGTCGAAGCTTCCAAGATTACACCCTCAACAGAGGTGATTCCGACTCGGAGTTTGCATATTACATCTACGTCTCTACAATCAGTGATTGGATGTATTAAATCGAGTCTGCTTTTCCTCGATACAGCCGGATGGATTTGCTCAATTAGCCTCAACTACATGGCAGATGCGCAACATTTCACGCGACACTTTTTTATACCACTAACATGGCGTAGTGAGGCTGATGCCGTGATCAAGATTGTTTCAAAGACAGCGATTGCGTTCGGAAGAGGGGAGCATTTGATGATATTTCACGGGTTTTTGGAGTTCGAGGAAAGGATACCGATATAAATTTTCGGGAGGCAGTAAATTGTGCTCTTTCTATTGAATGAATCGTCATAATTCCCACTATATGCAATAGACTTATGTGTTACGTTTGCCAGGGTAGCATCCGTAGAGTCTCGAGAACTGTGCCATCGCTTTGCAGCACGTTGACGTAATTAATGCCAACCACCATTTTCCTTGTCACCTGACGTATAATTACCGAATTCGTCAGTCCCCATAGGCTAAAGCGGCTCTCTTTGAATAAGATAAGTGCGATGGGGGTTGTTTGAGCAGAGGTCAACCTCCCTTGTTGTACTAATATTTCTTTGCATGAAACGCCAAAAAACATGCACAGAAGACTGAAATAAATGATTCCGGGTCAGTTAGAATTCTTTTTCAATCCATTCATCACGATTAGCCACAAGAAGCGGTCTTTACATCATCTACAGCATTCAAGATGGCTGCCACCGAGTCATCAGAAATGCCAGTCAAGCAAACCCCCAACGACGACAAAGAAATAGCGCCGTTCGTCGAAATAGCGCCAGAAGAGCCGCATTCAATATTCACAACTAGCGAGAAGAGGTGGATTAGCTATGTTGCTTCCTTCGGCGCCATGTTCTCCACCTTGAGCAGTTACATCTACTTTCCAGCTTTAGTCCCTATGTCTGTTGATCTCAACGTCTCGGTTGCGCTGATCAATCTCACCGTCACCTCATATCTGATAATAGCGGGCATCGCACCGGCCTTCATGGGCGATATCGCCGATCAAGGTGGTCGGAGGCCCGCATACATTCTTATGTTCACTCTCGTCGTTGCGTCAAATATTGGATTGGCGCTGCAGAATTCGTACCCTGCTTTACTCATTCTACGTATGGTGCAAAGCGCTGGAGCATCTGGTAAGTATACGACACTGTCGTAACTCATTATGTACCACATAGCTGAGTCAATAACAGGTTCATACGGCGCAGCATATGGGATTGTTGCAGACATAACAACAGTCGATGAACGTGGGTCTTATGTAGGGTCTATGCTCGTTTTGTAGGTCGATTCTTAAGAACATCTGCTAAGCTGCTTATTCTTTGGTCAACTTCCTTGTCATTTTTTGCTGATCAGATTGATGAAGTACCAACGCTGCTCCAAGTTTTGGTCCGGTCATCGCCGGGCTACTCACGGAGAAGCTGAGTTGGAGATGGATATTCTGGTTTCTGGTCATACTGACTGGCACTTACCTGCTCCTCATCATCATTCTACTTCCGGAGACACAACGTCAAATCGTAGGGAATGGGAGTTTAAAGGCCCACAGGATTCATAGAAGTCTGTTTGACTCTCTCACCCGGGACCGAAAGATCAACTCGGTGGGGCAAGTTCAAGGACTTCAGGATGGCAAGCGGCGATACCACATCCCCAACCCCTTCAAGTGCATTGCGATGTTGTTTTCCAAAGGCAACTTCAGCGTCATCCTGATAGGTTCTATAACCTATGCAGTCAAGATGACATTGCAAAGCTCACTGTCAGCTCAGTGCATTGATGTCTACAAGTTGAATTATCTAGAAGCAGGGCTCATTTACCTACCTTCAGGGGTAGGAGGTGCGATAGCGTCATATACAACAGGTCCGTAGTACAGGGACGCCTCATTCTTGTACAACACGACTTGAACATCACCTTGACTGACGGGATGGCAGGCAAAATTCTAGACAAAAACATCCAGAGGGTATCCATGAGGCAAGGACGAGACAGCCGATATCGTCGAGGTGATGACATATCGGACTTTCCAATCGAAGAGGCACGGCTTGCGGGGATCTACATGCTAGTTGCTCTAAGCTCAGTTACCACCGCAGGCTATGGAGTGAGTCTCATGCAAGAATCGGTATGTAGTACATCACAGACTGGTCTCCGGCTTGGGTAAGGTGCCCTCAGCTGGCGACCTCCCGAGACTAGGGCCTTATTGACCGTACCAGCACATTGCCGTTCCTTTGGTGATGCAATTCATAAGCGGTGCCACCACCTCGAGTATATTCACAGTCAGTGCAAATTTCCGAGTCAACTACCACGTTTCACAGTTCATAACTCATCGCCTTCAGGTTTGCGGCACCCTTCTGACGGATTTGAACCCCAAAGCATCAGCAACAGTCCAGGCGTCGTACAATCTTGTACGGTGCATTGGAGCGGGCGCTGCCATCGCGGCTCAGCAACCCTTGACAAACGCCACGGGCTTAGGCTGGAGCTTTGGCATATTTTCACTGATTATGTTGTTCGCAGCCCCGTTGGCCATGTTGCTCAGGAAAAAGGGTCTGAGATGGAGGGTATCCCCGAAAACCTGACCCTGAGGGAGAGTCAGACTATGAAATGTTTTTGTTCTGCATTGCCAACTTTCAGTGAGAGCTTCTCGGATTCTCGATCTGGGACAAGCAGACTTCGATTGCTCACGAATGGGGCAGAGAAGAAGTGCCTCGTAGGGTTCATGTTATCATCGGTCATGTAAAGGCCCCGCTGCTTGACTGGGACGTCTGCTTAGCCCCCGCGATGACCGTTGAAAGCCACATCTACACCTCAGCTTCCCGCCCCTCCACCTCCATTCGTGAGGTCAAAGAGATCGAAGCTACCGGCCGTTCTATCCGACATAGGCGACTTATCCGTTGCGACCGAGTTCTGCACATATCGACACAGATTAAAATTACTCCGCGTCCGCGTTCTTGCAACTTCAGCACAAAGTGATAGAGCCGCATTGATAACATGGTAATTAGTATATAGACTTGGCAACTCAGGAGGCTAAGCTAACCTCAACCTAGACCCACATACCTCCCATCTCCTCGGCTCTCCCTCCACCCAACCCAGCGATTCCAGTCACTGCATTCAAACTCACCTTCTCCATCAAGAGGAGCAAGCAAACAATCATCAGGTCCCATTCCCGGGTTTTCAAGCGGACATATAAGGGGTCAAGCGTAGAAGATCAACATCTCGCCAGACATTACGTCGCCCCGACCTAAAATCATCGTGAGTGGCCAACTACAAGGATCCTACGTGGAGCTTGGTCTAATACCCAACGTGGAGCCCTTCCCCCTGTTTCAAATCAACCAATTTTTTGAAGGAAGTCTTTTACACAATTCTTTGTGACTTACCTGGCCTTTGCGGGATGCCAAGAGTATAACGGATTCGGGGACTTGTGGAAGGGCGGTAGGGAGGGAAAGAGGATGGAGGGACTCGAAGACGGATCTAGAAGATTAGGATGGCGGCCGACAACGATGGGACTGCGATAAAGGTTAAGAGTTAGGAACAAGCTTGTCTTGAGGAGTTGTGCTGCAGCGCAGCAAATTCGCATCCCATTTGAAAGGCCACCCAGCAGCTGTCAACAACTTGTATCTCGCTGCTTTTCTAACAAGGGGTCTGTGTCTCATGGACCCCGAAACCGATATCGTCTATGCCGAAGAAAGAGTAGTAAACAATGACAAGAAACGAAGCGAATAGCAGATAGCGGGGTCAAGCTCCCCGGATGCAGTGAATCAAACAGTAAACCAATGGCCGTGGCCATTTCTTTTCCTCCTTCTTCCGTCCGCTGCGACAGCTCAAAGTCTGTCGCGACCATGCTGTTGTAATCCAATGCCCAGAGTTATCCGCCGACCCCAATGTAATGATGCCAACACTCATGTTGAAGACAAAAAAGAGATAAAACCCGTGTTTCCCCAAACGCCGTTTGGTGTTGCGCCGACACCAATGATGCAATCGCCTAGTCCTCGCGTTCCCTTTCACTATCATCGCCGCTATCGGTGAGGTCGACTGCCTTGTGCGCTTCGGCTTCGGTCATCTCTCGCCATGTACTCCAGCTCAACATGCCGAATGCGATCATAATCATGACACCGCCGATGAGAGCTGCAGCGCTGAGTGGCTCGCCAGTGCGCAGCCAGTCGGTAATGGCAACGATGAAGATTGTCAGCAGACTGGCGACACTGGACAAAACAGGGCTCGTCAGGCTGATCAAGACCAGGAAGCTGCCGGCAAAAGTCGCATTCATAACGACACTGCAGAAAAGCATCCAAGCCGTGTATCCCGTCGGCAAGTCAAATTTCTCAATACCAGTCCAGTGCAGAATGGGAAGCGGAATCCACAGCACCGTAAGCGTGAAGAGACCGATGCAGGAACCGAATGTGTTGGCGAAGATCATGCCGCGATTAGGGCTACAGCCTTCAGGCGGGCAAGCATATCGCTTGTAAAGGACCTCGTAGAGACCGTAGAGGACGGATCCAACACCGATGATCAGGTTGCCAGTGACACGGTTCCCGGCCGCCTGCTGATGAGCGGCATCATCCTCGCCGGGACTAGTGTCACCGTATGCGACGATCAAGACACCAGCAATGGCCACAATGACGGCAAGAGACTTGTCGAGGCGTAAAGGCTCCTTCAGCAGCGGAACTGAAAAGACGTAGGCGAAGAAAGCAGAGCAGTTGTAGATGGCCGTCAAATCGGAGGGAGTTGTCAAGTTCACAGCGACATACCAGCTCAAGCCACCAATAGTCAGAGCAGACGTAACGAAGGCCGTGGTCTTGACGATATAAGTCCACGGGGAGACGCGGGGCTGCGGGCTGGGTCGCGCATAGTCGAGGTCCTGTCTCTGGACCATGATGGCGGTGGTGTGAAGCAGCTCAGTGTGTCGTCGCCAGAAGGATGCCCAAGAGACTTTGCGCTTATTGAATCGCAGGAACAGCAGCTGGACAGGCCACAGCATCACCCAGGAGCCATGGGTCAGGTAGAGCATGCAGTAAGCCTTGTCCCAGTGCAGTTCCTGCTGGATGTATGCCGACAACTCGGTCTGAATGACGAAGGAGACTAAGCTGATAAGCAGGACGAAGGCCGCAATGATGTATTTTCTTCGAGCGTTCGCTGTAATGGTCGAGGGAGAGTGGGCTCGCATGGTCGAACCTCGAGAGAAGGCCGGTCGACTCGGGGTCAGCAACGGGCTGGCTCCTCGAGAGCGAGTGGAATAGCTCCTGCCGCGGTGGTCGTCATCTTCGTCGTCCTTTGCGTTTAGAAGAGGTTGGCCGGAGCGGGAGTTGTGATTTCGAAGGAGGGGGGGACGTTGGCTGTCCATTTCGTCGTCTTGGTCGTCGTAATCGTGTTTGAAGTAGTCGTCGTCAGCGGATCGCAATGCATCAAATTCGGCCAGGCGCTGGTCGAGCCCGGGGCTCCGTCCAGGGCTGCTGGTACCACTACCGATATAATCTGAAATGTTGGAATCGCATGTGGTTGCGCTCAAGGGAGGGTTATGGGAATGATCGTGTCGCAAATGGGGGAGGTTGAGGGTTCCATCCGGCCCTGTGTTGAGTCTGGGAGGCATAAGAAGGGATAAAAGGAACGTAAGAATGGGAAGGGGGGGGACACCAAGAGATAATAGCGAGAGTCTGAGAGAAAGAGATAAGAGAGACCGAGAAAGAGTAACGGCAAGGTACACAGAGAAAGGCTAATCAAGTGAAGGAGTGACTTGAACGGGGAAACCAATTGCTGCACAGGCAGAAAGCTGCAAGTTGGCTCGAGTAAGGAAGGGGTACACAGTTGACGCAGTATGCGAGTCGAGTGCTTGTCGGGAATGGATCTGTACAGTTGGACACTTTTTTCGCTTTGGTAGGAGTGGAGAGTGGATACTACAGTAAACTGGCGCATGGAAGTTGCCAAACCCAGGCCTCGGGACGGGATGCAGGAAAATGCGGCGGACGGGCATACGGGATTGTGGGAATGCAATACCTTCCTTAGACACTTTCGCTTTACAATGGGGTGCGTACGGATACTTGCTGTCTCTTTGGTATCATATCCCGTACTCACGAGGTATCTTCATCGCCCCGTGGTGGTGACGAGTGACATATCCATGACCCAGCAAGGTGACTTTTGATAGGGCCATCCCTACGCCGCCGAGACACAGCTAACTTGGCTTACTTGCTGCTTTCCACTTGGCACCGGCCAGATTGGCGGGCATGAGCGGTTCGCGCGGAAGGGGTCTTCCCCCCATATTTCCCCCCCACTCTCCTCGGTCTCCTGCAATGCTGCACACGCAACACCTCCAACACTCAGCCCTCCAAACTTACGCAGCCTCTCCGTCGCTATCGCTCCCACACCATTGTCCGTCCTTGATAATACTATGTACCTATGGTATCCGAACCAGAGGTTAGACATCTCGTCTGGTCGCGACTATCTTGCGCACCGTCGTCTCTGCCCTACCGTTGTACCAAATCAAGTACCCAGATACCACACCCTTCCGCCAATTCTCACGCACGTCACAAGTTGCGGTCAGGAGCAGAACGACAAGCCTGTCACCTGCGTCTGATAACTCTGGCGAGGTCAGCCTCTAACATGTCTTAGCGTTTGCCCGGCTATCATAGCTGCACCACTGCGGCGGTATGCATACAACTTGAACCACCCTGCCACGCTTACCAACAACCGAAGGAGGGTAAAGAGAAGAGGGCCTCAAAACGGCATTTCCCCTCGCCCCATGTTCCATCCTCCAGCCTGACGCCATCACGCATGGCGTCGCATGACTGGAAAGTCTGGCATTGGTCCCAGCTGCCACACCGACTAAAGCACACCCTCACATCCCGCGCCAGAGATCGCTTCAAGAACAGGGTACATTCATGTGCCTCGATTCTGACATCTGATACGACCATTTGCCCATTACTACCACAAAGACTACAAAGAATCAAACTTTGCCCGTATTTACCACGGCAATTCTTTCAACCTCGCATCAGAATTCTGCCCGCTCATCGGACTTGAGCCCGATCACTTGGCCCCTTCGCCGAACAGCTTCTCCCGGGTGTTGTACTTGTACTCGAGGTCCAGGTGCCAGTAGTTGGTCGTGTCCGCCTTGGAAACAGCCCACGCCTGATCGAGCGCATCAACCACTGCCTTGGGAAGAGGACCCTTTTCGAGCTGGTTGAGGTTATCCTCAAGCTGCTGCACGCTCGAGATGCCAATGATAATGCCGTCGTTACCGGCGTCCCCGGTCTTGAGACCCGAGTGGTGCACCGTCCAGCGCAGCGCCGTCTCAATCATGGTCAGCCCGTGCTCCTCCACCGCCTGTTCGATGATCTGAAGCGCCTTGAACGTGCTCTCGCGGAAGTAGCGCTTGCGGTAGTTGCCTCCCGTGCCGTGGTTGTCCGAGAAGCGGCCCTCCGTCGGAACGATGTCCTTTGACTTGATCTTGCCCGAAAACAAACCGCCAGCAATGGGGTTGTACACGACGAGGTCGAGTCCGTAACGGCGCAGAGCCGGGATCAGCTCGGGCTCGATGCTGCGTGTGATGACATTGTACATGCCCTGGTATATCGTCGGCCGGACCCAA